TGAAATAAGGCCTGACAACAGTGTATTCCAAAACAGAAAACCAAAGTAATTACCAAAAGTGTAACTTAATCTAAACCAATTTAGCTGATCTTTACCAAACTGTAGAGACCTATATGCAGAATTTGAATGGAGAGACGTTTATTTTAGGAATGTTATCAAATTTATTACTGTATTTATTTTCTGTGTATGTTAATGTACCAATTATTTCAGTCTAGATAATAATCTGGTGGGTTGATTGAATCACCATTAGTTCATCTGACTCCTACGTAGTGTTGTTGCCAAGTAGTCATATTTCCCACCGTCCTTGAAGTAGTCAGGGCGGGACTTTCTAGTGGGCGTGGCTTATGTAAATGAGGACCCGGCAGCTTGAATAGATGCTCTGGCTGATGTGAATAGCGGGACACTTGCTGTTTTAGAGACAACCAGCGCGCGAGGAGACGAAAATCCCCGAGTGGACAAACAAAACCCGGAGATCCACAGTTCCCACAGCTCCAGCATGGCGTCCAAATGCCCCAAATGCGACAAGACTGTCTATTTCGGTGAGTAAAGCACATTTAAAACGACTTTTGACTGATATTTATGTCTGATAAACGTAAATAGTAAATAAAATAATGGTCAGGTCGTTAAATGTTTTGGTCTTAAACATTTAGGCTGTCTGGTTACATACAACCTATGAATCACACTGTTTTGTTTTCAAAATAAAGTTAAGATAAGAGCAAAACTTCATTTTCTGTATTTTTAAATAGCATTTCCATTCTATGCAGCATCATGTTTTCTGTTTTAAAACTCATTTGCTTGGAGTTGTAATAAAAAAAAATAAAAGAAAAACATTGTAGAGGCGGGAAATGTTTAAATGTTTCCTTGTTTTCCCAAAGGATTCCACAGCATTCCTTTCACTGAGCCAAATTTAGGGGTCAGAGTCACTGGAAGAGTAAATGATTCACATGAATAAACTTTGGGGAAACCAAAAGCTGCAGATCTGAAGGAGTTAATGAACAAACAAAAAGTAAACAAACACTTTATCCAATAAATGCTCCCTCTTTGTGTCATAAAGTGTTGGTAATAGTGGATATTTGGGATTTCTCTTCCGTCTGCTGTAGATCAGATGAAGGATTTATCCTGCCCTGAGTCTGATCTGGGCCATTTTTAATTTGTTGTGTTTGGTAAAGCTCCAGGCTCCACGGTTGGCTCTGAAAAATAGCTGTCGCAGACCTATTGCCAAGAGAGCCATATGCTGAGAGTGTCCACATGCAGAGGAGTGGAGCAACATCATGCTGCGTCAGTGGGATGCAAACCAGCAAATGTGCATCTTTTTCATCTTTGTAAACGAAGCTGAGAAATCAAAACAACCACATGAGGAGAGCTCTGACTCCTGCCTCCATACAGCCAGGATGATTACTGCTTATATGCTCGATTACATAAAAAAGATGCTTACAGTTCAGTATGTGCTCAGATTAAAGGAGCCTAGATCCTCAACGTAAACGATAATTAACATCCTCTACTCTTCAGGTTGCTGATTTAAAAAAATCTCATTCTGTTTATGCTGTTTTTTTGTAATCCAGTGTTTGTGTTGGTAAAACAGAAAAGAACAGCTTTTCAGCATTCACAGCGCGGCTCAGAAGCAATTATGCGAGTGGATGGAAGGACCTTTATGTAACAGAAGCGGGCCGCGCCACACATCACAGCTGCTCCTCATCCTCTGGGTCACAGGAGTCACTGGAACGGAATAACATCCCAACAAATAAGATTTATTCACAGCTTTTGAACATATGAGGATTCAGTGTTGTGTCAGTTTGCTTTACGTAACACACATTGGTCCAGGGCCAGTTATTTTTGGGTGAGGTGTGTCTTTCTGGGAGGAGTAAGTGACGAGGATGATGGAGGGGCGTTTGGGAGGTGTTAGTGACGATATTAGCGTTTCGATCATTTTACAGGGAGGCTGTGAAATGCCTGAGGGAGGATGGTGGGAGTAGCATGTGTCCCGCAGCATCAACACCATGCCTGATGACTGGTAGATACTGAAAGAGTTCAGCGGCGCTTCCTACACGCGCATTAGCACATACTCCTTGCAGTCATTTGTCTCTTTAAAGATGTGAGGAATTCAGATTATGGTCGAATGAACAGGTCTGCAGGAGTTTAGAAGTCACAAAGCAGACATGAGTGGGAGTGATGATCTATCCATTGGTGTGAAAGCATCTGTCTCCCCAGTGATGCTCTACAGCTGTTTTAAAAAAAACATGAAGATGTGCTTTGTCCCCTCTAAGGCAGCTGGAAATCTATTCTGAATAGATGCTTGAACCATTGTGGCAGACTCTGTTTGTCTCAGCTTGAATGCAGCCACCCTACTGAGGAAGATCATTTTGCTAACTTGGTCAGGAACCAAATCACAATAACAGGCCAGGTTATAGACGGACCAGCAGAGGGACCTTTCCTCACTTAACTCTTTAGGATGTGGTGGAGCAGTGGCTTTACTGTAAACTCTACCCAGATCATTCAGCCC